GACCTCACACTAGAGAAGAGGTGTCAGTGGCAGACATGATAGATGAGGAGGGTAGATGGAATCTGCAAAGTGTAGAAAACTTTATCTCTCAACAAACTTTACAACAAATCTGCCAAACCCATCTTCCCCAGCATGTGCTACTTTCAGATAATCCTCACTGGATAGGTTCTCCTAGTGGAGGGTTTTCTGTTGGGGCAGCTTATGACTTGATTACTGCTCAAGAGCAAACGACTCATTCCATTAACTGGAGTTGGATTTGGAAACTCAAAATCCCTCAAAAGATCAAGGGCATTATTTGGCTTCTTCTTAATGGGCGGCTCATCACTAACCACTTTAGAAGAATCAAAGGGGTCTCATCTTCTGACATTTGCCCAAGATGTAATCTTTATAGAGAAGATCTTCAACACCTTTTCAGAGAATGTACCAAAGCTGCAGAAGTTTGGAGAAACATCAGGAATCTTAGTTGGCTGAATATAAGTTTGAACATTCGTTTTGATCAATGGTTGCTATCTAATTTGAAAAGTAAGAGCTCTAAAATCTGGAATGTACCATGGGGAACTGTTTTTATTCTAGCCTTTTGGAAAATTTGGAAAGACAGGAATAATATGGTTTTTCGCCAAGAAGATTGTAATGCACAGGAGGCTGTTAGATTTATTCACTTGCAAGCCATTGAAATTCAAGAGGCTTTTCTGACTGATCATTTTACAGGGATGAAAATACCTCAAGTTTCTAATTGGTGTTGTCCTCTTATAGGTAAAATTAAGCTTAACACGGATGGATGCTCTAAAGGCAATCCTGGACCAGCGGGTTATTAAGGTTTATTCAGAGGTGAAAGAGGGACATGGCTGCATGGTTATCATGGAAAGCTTGAAAATGTAACCAGTGAGGTTGCTGAATTGTGGGGAGTTTACAGAGATCTCACCATCATCCTAGAGAAGAGCATGACAGATATTCTTATAGAAACTGATTCTGAGCAAGTGGTGTTGTTCATCAAAGGGGACACTCCTCCAAATTTTGCACAACGAGCTCTCCTCGAAGACACCAAATTTCTCATGCACAGGTGCAATTGCTCCATCAGTTACACACCTAGAGAGGCCAACAAATGTGTAGATGGACTAGCTAATTTAGGAGCTACCCACCAAAACAATCTGGTAGTGCTTGATGACCCACCAAGTGCCATTGTAAGTCTGTTGATAGCAGACATGGTGGGGGCATCTTGTGTAAGGACTTAGTGTCCTTTGTTTCTTTCTTGTTTTTTATTCTATTTCCTTTGAATCAAAAAAAAAAAAGAAAGAAAAAAGGTGAGAATAAAAAAATAATTAGGGGATTAAGTGTATTATTTTTTTTACCCAAGTGTAGCCTGTTATTTGTATAAAAAAAATAATAATAATTTGTTTGTTGTAGAATTTTTTTTAATATAGAAATATTTTTTTTTATTTTATATAAAAATAATTTAACAATTTCATCACTAATCCTCTCCCATACTATCATCAAAATAAATATATTTTTACTTAATCCTCTCCCTAATAATCCCTACATGAATAATTTATTCATTAACCATCCCCTCACTAATAATCTCATTTAATTTAATCCGTCAAATAAACATGATCTATAAAAAAAAATTTACGAATTATTAATCCAATCCTGTCCTCAAAATACCCAATAAACATGGCCTTACCTTAAAAGGAAGTAGAAACTAAAACCATTCATTGACTTTTTAAGGTTAGAATTCATTACTTTACATAAGAGACCTATGAATAAGTGGGACTATACTAGTTATGCTGCTAACTGAGAACTAACTAATTATGCATGACAACTTAACTCATTTGGTTCGGTTTATAATTTGTTTTTTAACTTGTTTTTATTGTTATGTTACTATCATTTATTTTTTAATTAACGTTTTCTTTTTCTTTTTCTTTTTCTTTTTCTTTTTGAGCTCATAATTTAAAGAAATATATATATTACAAACAGATCATTTTATATCGCATATTTACAATGTTAGTGGGATCTCCACATAATTTGTTATGACCAGTGGAAATAATGTGTCCATAATTTTATTAAAATAGAAACAATCACGAGCCTTTGGCTTTTTTTGAGAGGATAATTTATACCTTTTATCTTTATAATTTAAAGTCTTCGGTTGATATTGTTTATTAAAATAATAAAAATTAAAATAAAATTTGAATTAAATTAAAAAAATAAAAAATATAATTTATTTATTTATTTTTTTAATTTTATAACTACTAGAAGTGTGGGCATGCAAAATAATTATATTAGTTCTTTGCGTCATGATTTTAGTTACTTAAAGACCAAAGTATCCTTTAGCAATGAGTTAATTATACAAAAATATCCTAAACTATAATAAAATATCATTTTATTCTCATGAATTATCATGAAATACCAATTTATTCTCTAAATTATAAAAATTTATAATTAAACCCTTTAACTATGCGTTAAAAAAAAAAAATTCAACTATCAAACTGTCGCATACTCTTTAATATCATTAATGAAAATAATGATATGATCAAATTGTTCTCTTATTTTTATTTTTATTTTTTTTAGGGGGGGGGGGGCGGTGGGTGGGGGGAAG